CAGTGATATTTCTCTACAAACGGCCTCCATAGGATGCAGACAGTGCAATCAGAAGACTCCCACTTTGTGTACTAGGCCACCTCTTTCACTCCATTGTGTCATATTTACTACGCCATGTGTCTGATAGTCACTGTGTGGTGCGACGGCGCTGTCTGCTCAGTACCTGAGCAGTGACCCCGCTCACCTGATTCCAGTTTACTGGTGACACTTAAAGAGTTGTGAACCTGGTAAAGAGGATGAAGACGTTAGAGAGCAGCTGAGGACAAGTGTAAAGCACTGTGACAGTTGTCAGTCTTGAAATGAGTGCGCGTCGGTCTGCGCTCCCTTCCTGAGTTGTGATCTGTGGCGCCAACAGGCTCCTGGTGCGGTGCTATTAGCTGCCCGGCTAGCTCGGCTGCTCCTCTGACTCTAACGAGATTATCTGGGAGTGCTATTGAAGGCACGTCTCCTCCAGTGCTTCACTCATCCTCAGCCAAATGGCCTCTTTCATTTTATTCCCTCATCATTTATCTATGAGGCTGCACACCAAAGACAAACAAAGAACATAACACAAACTGCACACTGCTTCAGCTCAGCTTTTCATACTTTATTTTATTGTGTTTGCTGCTCATCCTGCTGCTTTTATTCAACCTGTTTGATGGAGGGTGAAAGTTGTGAATGAAGCTGATCTGAATGTAAATGTAGGTGGTTTCTGTGCCACGTCTGTGGCAGCCTCAGTAGAAACTCGTTTTACAACGAGCAGTTTAGTATCACAGCAGTTGTCAGGAGATTCTCAACACCCTGACAAAAATACAGGACGTTCTGCGTCCAGGACGGGTTCCTTCCATTACCCGGGCCTTTCTAATGCTGTCGCTGTGAGCAGATTATCATCATTTATAGTCTGTACAAGTCGTCCATGGCTCCGACAGCTCAATAGGAAAGTTAAGTGAGGATTTTCATAGGGTGGGTTTTATCCTGACTTTATTCCTTTGCACTAAATACATTTGTAGTATATCTGAGACTCTTATTTTATTGTTCAGATGTTTTTACTTAAAACCACAACCACAAGAACACAGCAAGAAAAAGGAATACATCAAAAACGGAAGTGAATGTGGCAAATAAATAAATAAATAAACACTGTAAAATAAAAGAGAATTTTTTCAAAACGTCATTTCCCGAGGTGCTTCCAGTTCTGAACATAACTCAGGAACGGCTGGGGAGTTAGCCTCGAGCCGTAGGCCTGACACTTAATACTGCACGGTGGCTCATTGTGTCCTCCACCCACTGTTTGTGGTGGAGCTGCTGTGGTTTTTTTATGCCTGAGCAGAATCTGCCACCGTACCAAATTTGTGGAGGAGGCCCCAGGTGCAGCCTGATTAGCTGGAAGGCGTAAGTCCTGACTGTGAGACAGGACACTGACTGTGAGACAGTCCTCCTGTAAAGGTCTCCATATGTTATTTGTGTCAGCAGGTTATTACAGCTGAATGTTATGTGTTAGACATTGGGGACCTCTAGCAACCGTAGTAATTATGACCAGAGCAAAGGAGTAAGTAACGTGTCATAGTATATGGTGCCATGAAGTCCGTGTTTGGAGGAGGGTGGGCTGGATGGGCAGGCACATAAATCACAGGACGCTCCCCCAGGCGAGCAGGCCCAGTTCCAGTGTGTGACGTATTTCAGGTGGTTTTTGTTCTTCACTCTAACCAAGTAGTTTGTGTTACACAATCATAACAGAATGTTGAGGACAGTTTCCATGACAGTGGAGTTCTGGTACACTTTGTGTCACTTGTCTATGGCTTCTATGACAGGCATAGTCCGTAAAGCCGGCAGTGTGACGTACGTTGTTATTAATGTTGGAGGAGTTGTTGTAATTCCAGCGTAGGGGCGCTGTTTCAGGGGGCACTCCTACAGATGCAGGCATTCATAAGCCAGGACTCAGTCGAGCAGTAACTTCCGAGGTTGAGAGATGAAGCCAGTGTGGAAGTGTTAAACCTGCAGTTCCCCAAATGGCCAACTATGCAAGTAGTGCCTGTGGCGACAGGTCTACCAAACGGCCGTTGTCATGGTTACATAATAAGCATGCAGTTAAAGTTGCTGTATATAACCTTTTTCTAATGTTTCTTTGGTTTAAATGTGTGGAGAGGTGCTGTCACAGCCTGGCAGCAGAGCAGAGGACGTCCACTGGTTGTAGCTTTGGATGTACCACTGAAGGCGTTAACAGGAGACACACTGGCCCAGCCTGACAGGCCCTTTATCCCAGGGGTCATGAGGAAACGTGGATGAGCAGAGGTTAAACTGGGATTTCTTCCTCCAGAGGAGGCTCGGGGAGGGATTACATCCATAATTCAGCTCATGCGATTATTCCAGAAATCTCCATAGTTTGTTCAGTGATTTCATTAGTGGCAAAGTCGCCAGTGTCGGTGAATGAGATCCCAGGTGAGGAGGAGCTCTGTACAACACGACATCTTTGCTGCTGCTCAGTGGAGAGGTGGTTTGTGTGAATATCGGGTTTTCCCACATACTCTCTTTTGGTTAAAACATATATTCTGTTTGTTTCATAGTGCCCCGACACCCCACATGTCCTCTTGGTGCCAGTATGAAGAGGTTCTAGACAACACACACCTGTGTAGTTTCTGCAGTAAATGTAAAAAGTTACAGTGGCCAAAGTGCCATTTTTAATGCAGGTCACATGGTGGGTGGTTGTGCAGCACTTTGGCCTGCAGCTCAGTTCCACCTCAGCCCTGCAGGAAGAGGCACCTCTTTATTAACCACATTAATAATAAAAAGCACGGTCCTCCTTAAGCACAACTGAAGCTTGACTTATTTGTCACAGTCTTTTACTACAGGTGAGTGCAAACACTTACATCCCCTCACAAAGACTTTTTTCTCATCGGCATCCTATTTAATGCTTATTCAGCTGGTACAACTGTTCTTCATCAACACACACACGTGGTCAGGGAGTGTATAAACAGAAAGTTTCAGTAAAATAATGAAAGTTATGTGGAGTAGTAAAGCAGACTACTTACAGTGAACGTGTATGGTATAGATCATTTCTACCACTGCATGTGCTCACGGGTCATTGCAAAAGTTTGCATCGCCATTTATGAAATGTTTTCTGTACATCCTCCCTAACCTCCTCCAACCTCTCTGGGTGCCCTCTGAGCAGCATTTGGATCCTGTTGGATGTCATTTTAGCTCGTTCTGTATGGCAGACTTGTTTGTTTGTCTGCTGTGTACAGCGCTCTACATGTGGATCCACAGTACTACATTGAATGTGTGTAGTTAGTACACTGTAGGTATTCTGCTTTGTACTGCGCCACTATGTGTCAGAGGCCAAAGCTGTGCTTTCCACTGCACTGTGTAGTGCTGTACATTAAACTACCAGGCAGGATACTGCGTAAAGTCGTTAAAATACCAGCTGCAACATTAAATGCATCAATAATTAACCTACAGTCTAATGGGACATTCTGCATCAGAATTACTTTTGCTCTTGGTGTGTAAAGTAAACTTTGATGCAAGTAAAATTCTGTGTTTCTACACAGCGGATACGTCACTGACCAAATGGAAGCTGTTATGTGCCGATATTGTACAAACAGCATTTTGTTTAAAAAGCTTGCCCTGGATGTAAGAACCATTAATCAGGTGTTTGCAGAATCATCCCGTACTGATGTTCTTGTCTGGCTGATTACAGATTTACATTCTGGAGGTGAATAAGCCTTGACTGGCTGCAGTGAAATATTATCACCCTGGATGATTTGACCAAGATCTTGTGAAGAACTGACTGAAAAAGTTCTCTTAATAAAACAGAAGGAAGCGGTGCGATGTTAAATCCAGCATTTAGTCAGCATGTCACAGTCAAATGTAGGTCACTGAAGAGCCTGACAGGGGCTGATGAGGTGCTTGAAAGCACACTGACATCTGTGAGAAATGCTTCTGTGAACTGCAGCTGAGAGCGAGTCCTCTCAGGGACCTCCACTGGAAGTGGGAGAGGAAGTGGTTGAGGTTTGGTCTTTGTCAGAGACGAAGGTTCAGCTTTCAGAGGTGTGACACATCTGGTGTGACAGTCCAGGGGGAGAACACTGAGGGAGCAGGAGTGCAAAAGGTTTCACATGATCCAGGTACCAGCCTGTAACGAGCAGAGACATCCCGCTCAGGTCGGCCAGCATCTGTCTGACCTGCTCCCCTCACCACTCCCTGTTGACACCAGTCATGTCACTGTGCTGCTGACCATCGGCCATTTAAAGCCAGAAAACTTTGCCCTCATGTCACACCAGCTTTGCGTTTGTACTTTAAAGACAAATCAGATTCACCAAACTCTCTTAACCACAGAAACCTGTTGTAAGCTGCTCATGTCAGACGGATGAAGCTGCGTGGTAAGGACGCTCGTTCTGCTCTGCTCTAGACCAGCTTATTCCCAACAAAGAGAAAAAGACGGCATAGATTCGAGTCCTGCCGTCAGAAATCAGCAGACAAAAACACATTTACAGTCGCTGGTTTTGTGGCTCTCTCTGAGCCAGTTGTTTACACTGCTACAAATCCACCTGTGTCCTCCAGCAGGCTGTTTCCCAAGTTAGAATGTACATTATTTATAACTTATTTCATCATGCAAATTAAAACTGGAACAATGGTAAAGATGCAGGAAACCTAATGGGGGGACTTGAGTATTTCTACACTGCAGTATTTGTAAATGTTTTGGAGTAAATGATCTGATGTTGTTCTACCTGTAGTCAGTCAGTTTACAGAGTTGTACAAAGTAAATTCTCACCTGTCATCTCTCTACCTGCCTGAGTGACTTTCAGATACACAGATGGCATTATAGGCCTCCTCCTGCTCTCTGGTCTCGTCTTTACAGGGCATCTAACGTCAGCCTGTGCGTGTTTGTATTTACACTGTGTGTTTACTCTTGTGTGCAGGTTGGCATGTCCTTTAAATCAAAGATGGATAAAACAAGTAAATGTGGAGGGTTGAAATATGTTCATGAATCCAGTAAATACTGAGCCTGTGTCGTCTGTCTCTGTCAGGTCAGGAACGCATCGGCATCGACTCCAAGTACGAGCAGGAGGGTAAGGTCCAGTTTGTGATTGACGCAGTGTATGCCATGGCCCACGCCCTCCACAATATGCAGAGAGACCTGTGTCCAGAGAACTCTGGCATCTGCCCGGAGATGGACCTGGCCGGAGGGAAGAAACTACTCAAGTACATCCGCAGTGTCAGCTTCAACGGTGAGTGGACTGATGGGTGTTGCCTTCTGCAGGAGATGAGCTGTGTGTTGCGGTCAAAAACATAAGCACAGCTCTGAGACAAAAGCAGATTCAGGTGGAAATAAAATCAAAATCTGCCCAAGTAGCAAACAGCCTGATCATGAAAACACTCCAGGTTGTAAAAGTGCATCAAATTGTCTGATTGTCTCATAAACTTGCTGCCGTGGTCTCAAGGGTGTTTATCTCTCCGTCCACTTCTTCATGCGCTTCATCACACTTTATGTGGGGGGGGGGGGGGGTTATAGGTGTGACAGATCAAGGCTCCTGATCTGTTTTGGCTCCTAACACGGAGTTAAGGACCAACACTGAGTCTGTTACTGTGTTACACAACACTAAAATCAGCTCTGGGCCTCAGAGAAATGGATCAGATCTGCTCTGCACTACAAAACGAGACGTCCCGTTTCCACCACGTTGAAGGTTTGGCCACATTCCTACACATGTGATGCTACAGGCAGTGGCAGCTTGAACCCTGGGGCAAAATCTAAATGTCCAGTTGGAGGCAGCCTGATGACCATTAGAAGTTGTTTGTCTCCATATCCTTGGGTCTTTTGGCTGAAGGCAGGGCTTTCCCAGCTGCCCCGGGGGCACGGGACCAAAGATGTGAGGCACACACCGTTTCAGGTGACCCGCCACGGTGTGTGCACAGTGTGTGCACAGTGTGTCTGCTCTCGGTGTTGGTGGCTTCACACCGTGCACTGTAAGTGTTAACGTGGAGATTACTACAAAATAACGAGTGGGCCTACCTCTGTTATAAACACTTATTTTAAATAAGTTCCTCGTACTGGTCAGAAAATCTGAGCAACTCGATGCATTTGGGGAAGTGACACTTTTCCAGGTGTGGGATAACCCTTAACCCAGAGAAGCAGACTTCCCAGCATGCACTGTGAGACACTTCTCTTTTAATTTTAAAGAGCCCGTTCGTGGTGGAAACATTCTGTGTGTCTGTAATACACATCAGATTCCATCATGGCTGTTAAGCTTGGTCTCGTATTCAGTCCCCCACAGGGCAGCCTTGCGTGCCGTGCTTGTACCGACTGTGGTACCAAGTGTCTAAGTTCTTCATGTTAGATGAGGAGCCGACTCTTCAAACTGAGAAATGTAAGATAAAAATACACCTGCCAATTAAATGTTGCACACTTATAATAAGCAACTTCTTCTAACTGTTTACTTACGTTTCTAACTTGTTATATGATGCCATATGATGATATATAGATGCTTAACTTTAAAGAAGTACAGCTTACTCAAATAGTACATGCTCATTCTAAGCACTGTTTTTGTAAAGTCAGCTTTACTTGTTAGAATTCACAGTGTGGCAGGTGGAGACATTTCTGGCTTTTCAAAACATATCCCCAGTTTCCTGGTTAGTAACACAAAGTGCCTGAGGGTGTCGTCACCCCGCTCCTCTTTTCATACGTCCAATAATGGAAGACGGAGCGACTTCAGGAGTGAGCAGTTGGCCTTCGTCAACATTTCATTCTGCAGCCAAAATGCTAATGAAATGCAAGTTATTATTGGCTGTTATTGTGCTGCGTGATGTTATTGTTCTCACTCTGGCAGCCTCAGGCTGAGGGCCACTGAAGGGCTGAGCTGTGTGTGTTTTAGCAGAGGGCTCCTCCTTCTAGCCACCGTTAAATGCTGATAAAGGACACGGATTACTCATTCTTTCTATAATGGATGGTTTTAAACAAACAAAGTGTGAAATGACAACATTAAAACACTATAACAAGGTGAAAGATGATTTTAGTGATCACTCTGCAGCTGCCCTTGGCTTTAGGCAGCTTTACAGCGAGTTGTGTTTAGTGTCCAGACCACAGCATTACTGTCCTAGTTCACTCTCACCACTCTCAGATGCTGCATTTCCACTATGGGAACCTAGTGAGTAGTGCACCTTGTACTTCCCTTACCCATCACCGAGCGTAGCCTCTGGGGTCAACGCCGGCCGTCCTGCTTTGTTTCTCCGCTGTCATTTCTCTCTGTCGGTGCAGATTAATGATGATGAGTTGTGCTGATGTCACAGCAAAAACAAAATAATAATAAATTGGTTGATGCAGGTTTGAGGAAGTAGAGCAGCTCTGTTTCTAGATCACTATTAAAAGCAGGGTTACAATCTGAGCTGACGCCCAGAGGGAGAGTTTCATTAATAGTCAAGAGGTGGAGCCTTTGTGTGATGACGAGATGAGGCTGAGTGTCAGTTGGCTTCCTGCTATCTCATTTCACAGTCCGGACTCCACCTGTGGTGACTCCACCTGTAGTGACTCCACCTATGGTGACTTCATTTGTAATGACTCCACCTGTGGTGACTCCACCTGTAGTCAGTCCACCTGTGGTGACTTCATTTGTAGTGACTCCACCTGTGGTGACTCCATTTGTAGTGACTCCACCTGTGATTACTTCATTTGTAGTGACTCCACCTGTAGTCAGTCCACCTGTAGTGACTTCATTTGTAGTGACTCCCATCTGTGGTGACTCCATTTGTAGTGACTCCACCTGTAGTGACTCTACCTGTGGTGACTCCATTTGCAGTCAGTCCACCTGTAGTGACTCTACCTGTGGTGACTCCATTTGTAGTCAGTCCACCTGTAGTGACTCTACCTGTGGTGACTCCATTTGTAGTCAGTCCACCTGTGGTGACTCCCATCTGTGGTGACTCCATTTGTAGTCAGTCCACCTGTAGTGACTCTACCTGTGGTGACTCCATTTGTAGTCAGTCCACCTGTGGCGACTCCACATGTAGTGACTCCACCTGTGGTGACTCCAGTTCCTGGGTCTGTTCCGACTCACAGCTCACAGGGTCCAGCTCACAGAGACTTCAGACACGGTGCCAGAACCACCATCTGTCCTGAATGTGATCCAAAGTGCTGCTGTTCCCTACCCCACAGTCGGACTGTGGATGTGGACTCTGGTCTCTGGAGTCTTCATAAATGTGTGGCTTCATTCATTTAAAGAGACGTAACATACGTGAACATAGTCCAGGCACTGCTTATGTTTTCACCGTGCAATTAGGAAATGGTTTGGTGATACAGTATCTACATGTGATACAGGTCCCAGCAAGGCAACCAAAACTGAAAGTAACAGAGAAGAACTAGGGATTAAAAACTGTTGTGCAGTTACTTCCAACACATTTGCACTACTTGTTACTCACTCAATAATCACATTACTGTAACACATTACTAAGTACAACTGCCCAACACTGGCGACTTTACAGTGCCAAACTGTAGCTGTACCAACTAATAATATTGTAGGGTTTATTTCTGTGGCACTCAGAGCTGCACACAAAGCAGATATTAAGCAATAAAGGCCAATAATGGACTCACAGAAAACTAATACCCACCTACTGTAGGATTATACATAAAGAACTTTAAAGATACTGCATGTATCCATAAAATATCTGTTGGCCGCTTCAGTTTAATGATCCTCACCTGTAAGACCTAGTTACTATTTACCTGCTTCTGTAATCTCACATTATAACAGTTATAAACATTTGCATTTTTACCTGTGGTATTCATCATATTATTTGGAGACTATAATTTTAATGCCTGAGCCAGAGCCTGGAAATCCGCCCCTCCAGAGAGATTCTGTTATCAGGTAATTAGCAAAGCCTGAACTGTGCTAATTTAGAATGAACTGCCATGTATTGG